CAATTACTTGATCTGGAGTGACAGTTTCATTTACATCACAACTATGTTTACGGCAACATACTGCATGGTTGGTCTTAGTCATTTTGGGATGTGTTTCCAAAGTTATTCTGTGGAATATAAACAGTCAAGAGGAGAACAATAGCGATAAAAGCAATTCACAAAGATTAGCTAAATGTTTATTTGCAGTAAGATAGTATTACTAATGTTTATTGTTATTCTTTAGTTGTTGACACACACTCTCTTGTATTAAAATCAAACTACCTGTCCTGTAGTGACACAGTTCACTGTTTGGTTAAAGGAGGCCCCATTGTGCTTTCTTTTTGTCGTTTCCCCTTTCCTGTAGTGTGTTATATAGGTTTGTGTGCATGTAAATGGTCTGCAAGGGACTTTCTCTCCCACACTAATGGTCCCTTTTAAAATTCAGTTGTAGGATGAAATCAGCCTAAATCTTTTCCTTCTTTTTTGGGGGGCTTTTGAATTGTGTGCATGTGTCTATATACTGTAGATTAAAAAAAAAAGTACAATATACACAGTTGAATACTATGTGCAAAATAGGGATCACATTTAACCAAGATGAAAACACATAGCCATGCAGGGACCACAACACAAAGATACCAACAAAACCAGATCAATAAAGTCACTTATTTTCCACTCTCTGGTTTTGTGCTGGCTACTGGATAATCATATTTTTTATTAGATGTGGGCTGAAATAAAATAAACAATGGTATTATGGTATTTGTTAATAACTTCGTTTTTTCTGACCATACACCAAAACTCATAAACTGCATTTTCTTCCTTTTGTAACAACAAGCTGCTCCAACAACAACGCTATCAGTGAAGGACATCACCGAGTGCCATTATGAGGCAGAATGAGAGTCCACAAAGGCACAACATCAGGATTATGACAGTCTTATCTCCATATCGCACCAGAAGAGAGGTATTGATTTTCTGCCAAAGAGCATCACAATCAAGAGAGATGTGCCACGCTTGTCAAAGAGTCGTGCACACCCAGGGGCATGATGGGAGAGCATGAAGGAGGGAACAAGGCAAAAAGCAACAACAGGAGTCCTGGGGGGCAGAGGGGGGGGCAAAGCACGGCTGAAAACACTAAAGGAGTGTCATAGAGGTAATAAAGGTCACTCAGGAGACAAGGGGGAAATAAAGTAACCATGAGAATATACAAATAGCTATTAAACAACATCAAGTGGTGTGAATCCTTAATTAACTTGATTTAATTTAGTTTAAAATAGACGAGTAACACACCTGTGCAATCGCTTACGCTGAAGTGTATGGTTTTGGCGATTTATTTGTATTTTTCTATTTATTATTTATCTACTAACTCAATTCAATATTAATACAGACAATTGATATGGACAAGGTACCAGAAAATACAATTAGTAGAAGCGGGAGGGCAGAAAGCATAGTTTAAAGAAAACAGCCCTGCAGGGAGTCATCCAATTGCAAAGAGACACATTTCAGCACATATAGAATTACAAATTAAATAAATAAATAAAATCTATTTTAATATCAAAACCGCTCCCAGGATCTTTGAATCTATGTATACAAATAAATATAAATAATAATGTATATAAATACACACATTAATACATGCGTTTACATACACACCCATGAACTTTTATATTTACGAGAATGTGTTTAGGAAGTAGTGAGTATTTGACTTGATAAATGACTTGCGAGAGTTGTAAATGCTTGTTTCAAAATAGTATGTAGCTGAAACACAGTCCAGAGACTTTTCCCTTTTCTGATTTTCCATTCAACCGTTGAGTAATTGATATACAAAAATGTGAATTTATATCTTATATTTTCCATGATGATCTACATTTTCCTTGAAATTAATCTGTCCACAATGTCATCACTTTTATCAATTTTTGGGAAATGTTCATAATTAGCATATCAATTATTGAGTTAACTTGTGAACTTGTGAATGTATACCAACCATATTTATAATTTCCCTAGGCATTAATATATCTGCCAAATCTGCCAGCAGTTAGATTTGACAGCAATGTTCAGCGCAACAGATTCAGTATGAAGTTCAAAATTCAATCATTTATTGTCACAAAGGGCAGAGACTGGTGTGTCAACGCCATCAAGATGACAAATGCCACTCGCTTGTATATTGCAAATGAGACTCGCATTTTCCAACGTTTCTAATTGAGAAACAAAAAGAAGAGCAACTTCCATTTAGAGGTTAGTAGCTGAAGTGTTTGTCTTCTCTACCAAGGTTAAGCAATTCTCCATCTTCTCTAAGCTTGTTCTGCAGGCAGGATGAAACAGTGGCTGCAGACGAACCCCCGAGGTGTCAGAGCAGCCGATAGATACCGTAAAGATGTAGCAACACATCAGCCATTCAGCTTGTGTCTACACGAGACAATATGTTAGCAGCGGTCACCAGCATCTCATTTTCTCATGGTGCCAACCACTGAGTCACAAGAGGTTTGCAAACAGTGTTGAGAATAGAAATAAGGGTAAGACAAAATTTGAGCAGCGTATAACAGAAGACATTTGATTACATACTGTACACATTCAAATGACTGCTGGGAAAAGTGTGGGAAGACTTTAGAGCAGCAAGACTGTACAGAATACAAATGATAAGTTAAGAAAAAAAATCAGTATTGGCAATCATTAGTTCCACCAGAGGAAAGCCGGGCAAAATTGTAGCTAATTGACGCCTGGACTCGTCCTTCAGTGTGGAATCTCCTACAGTAAGGACGTGCAAGGAATTTTCTCACATTGCATTATATGCACAAACTGCCAATCAGTTTTTCCATTTAGCATGAAAACTCATGTTTTGGAGTTGGAGTGGTGCAGCATGGAACATAGTGGAGCGGGCACACAATGCACCACAGCCGTGCATTGCACCCTAATGCCTCTCCTTAGCAAAGAGCCCATTTTCCATCCTCTATCTGGGGGCCCATTTTGCTGAACAAAGTCTGATGAAGAAAATATGTCACCTTACAGCCTCATCTGAAAGCATTACAGTCCTCTCAATTAACATCTGACTGGTTCACAGCTCAGAGCACTTTGGCAAATTATCCTTACTGTATGTTCAATATGACGTGATAATTGCCATATAAGAAAAGTCTTGGTAGTTACATGCATATCTATCCAAATTTGATTGAAGTATTGTTAAATTATTCCTGTGTAGGCACTCTAAATCTCTTGCTAATATCCATGAGAAAGATATTGTGTATCTGTTTTCATGCTCTAACCTTTATGTGATGGTTGGCAAGAAACAAATACCTACAGGGATCTTTAAAGTATTACTATAAAAACAAAGTATCTTAAAATACTGGCAAAGTTCAAAATGTTAAAGAGTCATCATGTTTTGAAACTTAAATTGAGTCAACACATTGAGTGGAGGACTTATCTAGTAGAGGACAATTATTTTGTGGGCTGTGTTATGTTTGTGTTTTTAGACTACACTGAAAATGCACTAGCTCCCCCCAGTGTACAGAATTAGCTTACATATCTTGTAAGTGTATCACATACTGGATTGGTGGTGTTTTGTTGCTTCGTATCATTATTGTAAACAGAGTCACCATGATGTCAATGAGAAAGGTTCAGGTGACAGAGCCTTTTTCTGGGTCAAACTACTTGGGTCACTAATGGGGAAAGTGTCCAAAATGTACCATCACAGTAAAATCAGCCACACATACACTTACATTTTTACACACACACAAGCGCATCCTTTTTTATTACATTAACCTTTTCGGTAGCTGCGAGGGAGCACACAGTGGGAATGAGTCATCGCTTAACAGCATTGGATTATCCGCTTTTGATTGTATCTCACTCCTGAGACAACAAGATCACGATATATCACATCAGAGTATCTGTCAATGTCATCTGAAAGAGCAGAGCCCGCTGAAGGTCACCTCTGCCTTCATGATGTCATTCCATTCAAACTAGGGACACACTTGAACCTGCTCAAAATGTGGTTTTATTTCAGATTTCAGATTTTCTTTTTTAAACTTAACAAACCTCAACAGGCATGCTTTAAAGGTCCCATGTCATGCTTTTCCGGTTATTACCCGTCCCCTTGTGTGTTATGTAGCTTGTTCTGCATGTAAACGGTCTGCAAAGTCACAAACCCTCAAAGTACACCCTGTAGCGAGTAAAACTCTAACACAGAAAAGACCTGTCTATGCTGCCCCAGAACGCCTCTTTGGAGATTTTTATTTTTTTATTTTTTTATTCCTGGAACCAAGTGACGTAACCATACCCAGGTCCAAATGGACCAATCCGTGGAGCTCCTCACACACACACACACACTCAGCCTTATCTTTTCTCAGCCGCGGCTCCGTGGATCTCCACTCACAGTTCGCCACACACTCACGTGTGTGTGCTCAGGCTGAGTTCCGGGCAATCCCCCACAGGAGCAATTTGGGGTGAAGTGTCTTGCCCAGGGACACAACGACATGCTGACTGCAGTGGGGTTTGAACCTGTGCTCCCCTGATCCGAACACCAACGCACTAATCCACTGCGCCACATCCACAGGCCCAATATCGGCCTTTATGAATGCATGAATCATTCTTGATCAATTAAAACACCTATGTTGCATGGCTCATGTTATGTACCCAGAAGTCAATTCCCATAAAAAGCCACAATATACACATAAGAAATAATACAATGGATAAACAAAATATTATTACTTCACTGTTAAATATGTGTAGACACATGCAAGAGAAGCTTAGTGATGTTGCCTGCAACTGTTCAAACGGTGAGGTCACTGGAGCATAGGTCAGGATGCAGAATATGGTGAGTAATGATTTATATATTTATCTAGTCTGAGTCTCATTGAGGTTAAAAATGCTCTTTTACAAGAGAGTCATGGCAGCAACACATTTTCAAACAAGAAATGAAAAACAAGAACAGAGATCATATCATAGTCCCGATCAGAAACGTCATTGTACGAAGCATCTACAGACAGAGTTGCCTGCTTCATGGTTATTAAGAAGCACTTTATTTAGGAGGTACTCACCAGGCTGGAGGTGAGGGAGGGGTCTGACTTCCCGAGGTACAGGGAACACATGCGAACCAGGTTAGAGGTCTCCGATGCGGTGTGTGTCTGCTGGGGAGCGGTGGGCAGCAGGAGGTACTTCCCTGCAGAGCAACAACAGGACAAGGTCAGTTAATGTTTTGCAATTTTGGGGAATTTTGCAAGACAGATTCCCCCCCAAAACTTCTCAGATAGCTGAATCTGTTTGTTTTGTTTTTTTTTACTGGTGGAAATTAGAGGGTCATTTATCGATTATTTCGCAAATATATAATAAAATGATGTATTTATCATTAAAAATAAATAAACTCTACAAATTTGAGAAGCAAAAATGTGTATTCTTCTTTACCCTGCTCCAATTGTCTCATATCCCCAAAATAGGTTTTGTGACCCTTACACATGGGATGACTTTTACATTGGAATCCACCAGATGAACAACAACTGTACAGTAGCTATAACTAATTCAACTAGAGCCAGCTACAATAGTGAAATGCTATTTGCACATTAATGCATCATAATTAAGTAATAAATAGTAATACATCAGTGACAGGGGCCACTTTTCTACATAATGAGTATTATTATTTGTGTTACTTTTTCAAAGCAGGGATTTCTTTGAGGAGCATCTTTGCAATTTATTGGTACTTTTACTTTAGTAAAGGATCTAAACAGTGTTTTCACTATACTATGAGGTTGTCAACTAGATTTGTCGCACAACTGTAAATTCAAACTGTCATTAGTTATCACAGTACCACCCCTGACTTATAACAAGAGGGAGGGAATAAATGGAGGAGAGAGAACTGACATACAGGTGACATAAGATAATCCTTGCCGTCTGCTCTTCTTAGGAGTGCAAAGCTAAAGGCTCTGACTGTGCAGCAAGGCAGGGTGACAAAGGGTTAAACACGGCCAGAGGGGGAAAACATTTAGTCCCATAATACATCATCAAAGCACCAGCACTGCACTGCGACTAAAGTCTGATGATGATAAGAAGAATGAATCACCTATATGTTTTATTATCAACAGGAGCTCTGCACAAAAGTATCGTTTGTAAAACTGAAATCAGATCTCCTCTTTAGCTCTCAGTGCCGGCCCCTAGATGGCACCAAAAGCTCTTTTTAACTGCCCTCTTCGTTAAACCTTAGTGCATCAAGGTAAAACAAAGATTAAAACATAACATAAACAGCCTCAGTATCATTATCAGCAGATCTTAATGTGCACCTGGCACATGGATTGAATAATTCTTTGTTGAAGTGTTCTCATCCTTTATCCATGTGTATATATTTCCATTTCCTGTTTAAGTTAACACTCGAGGAGACAGGAGAGAATTTAGAAAACTTGGCTCAGTGAAGTAAGGCAAGATATCCAGACTGTGCTCAGAACATAAAGGACATATCTCAAGTTCACATGAGATAGTATAAGTCAAACATCCAATGTGTTACGCTTTTATAAATGGTAGAAGGCATGTCTATAAATTCACGGTCCCGCTATTGCTGTAGGTGTTCATTTAGAGGTGGAAGACTGATATCTTTCCCCAATATAACAGTAATATGAGTTTTGTAAATGTAGTATTGCATGAAAAGTGCAGTTTAGGGACGCTCTGGTGCCTCTGCAGATCGAGTCTTGCAGGAGACCTATCTTTTTCTACACTCATTTCCTGTCAACTCTATCAACTGCTGACTCAACTGTTGACATTAAATGCCCACAAAAACACTTAACATTAAATAAACAGTTTAAAGCTACAGCTGTTTGCCTTTGCACAATAACACTGCCGCTGGTTATTTAAAACATTTGAGTTATTTCTCACTCTTCTTCAGATAATTGAAAAGAATATCACTTTTTTCTAAGGGTCAGTTCTGGACCTGGATCTAGTATTTACTGTGCTACAGTTATCTCTATAGTTTCAATGATCACTTCAGTCAAATCTGAAGAATTGAAGGGAGACCAAACCGGATGAGGAGGGAAATCTGTGGTCTTTCCTTCCTTACTGGCAAAAGCTTTCCTCACTTAAGCCATCACATCCCGGCATAAAGGAAATCTCTCATCAACACTGTTAGAAAGTCAGGAAAAATGACTAGATGGGGAAAGTTTTTGTTGATTGTGCAGATTTTCCTTAAAGCCTATGAAAACATGGTTTATGATTTCAATTCATTTTGAGTAAATATTGATGGCTATATAAATAACGGACACAGTAGAAGCTCTGGGGAAAAAAACATCTTATGTTTGGTTTACTTTATTTGCTAGTCGAGTAGAAATGTCATGTGAGAGGATCAAAACAACTCAAAAATGTGATGTTTTCAGAAAATATTATCTTAAAATTAAGCTTTACACTTCTGGAGGGCATCCTGTGTGTTCATTATCTGCTGCCTGCAAAAGATGATGTAACCTTATAAGGTTTATCAAACTAATCTCCAAAGACTTTTTTTTTAATAGTGACGCACGCTGTCATTTCTACTTTCTCAAGGACAGGTTAAAGTGACAGGCCCCCAGAAGTGATTATCCCTTCCTGTTTGAATAAAAAGTCCTACATATATAGTGGAGTTTTTACTGTCATTACCACTTTACTTTAAAAATTGTTTAAATCAATCAAACTAAAATCATTCATCCCCATTTAAGAATTATTACGTAATCTACAGGTGATAAATTGACATTAGTTTGTCATTAATGTGATGAAAAAAATACAGAAAGAAATCCACTGCTTGTCGACCACTTAATATACGTGTTAAAGCTTGGAAACAGTGCAAATATTATGCGAAACCCCACAGTAAAATATACAAATATAGGGACCATCAGCTTTACAAATGCATCAATCTGGCATCTAAAGCAACAAAAATACTTGTAAGAATCCTGAAATAGGGAGCAAAATAATTACCTGTGAGGCCACCCCCTAGGCTCCTCCTTCGAAGGTATTTTCCATCCTCATTGAGGTGTAGTTTAAATTTGAGAGCAGAATTGAATCCATGAGACAACTCTGGGTCACTGGACTTCCTGAGGTATGTGGAGGGAGGGTAGTGGATGTCGTCCAACTGGAGGAGTAAATGGAAAACAATCAGTGGGTTCAAAAAAAGTCATTTATCAGTGTGCTTCATACATTAGCTTGAGGAAACGTTATTCTATTTGTGGAAAAAGTATTTCTATTTTCTATTTCTCAGTCTTTAATTCACTCTTAAATCAGTCAAGTCAGACAGTTTCAGAAAATAAGGTCCGACACCTTAAAAAAGTAACTCGGAACTAAAAAGCCATATTAACACGGTAACAATCATTGGTACCTGCTGAAACGACAACATAATGAGGGGTTTGCCAACATGTTGTGGAGAGAGAAATAAGAGAGGAAATCTAATATATAATATACTTGAAAAAAATCTAATATGAACAATTGGCAAAGTCCACATTTGTAAAACGGGATGAACTTATATAAATGGCAGGAAACCCTAAAGGGAGGACTCAAATCCTTAAATGAATTCATAGGAGGGGGATTTCCAGGGGGTTCTCTATAATGTTCAGCTCACTGCTAAGCACAACACGTATGAATCACTTTCTCAATCCAACACTTTAAGGTCAGCGGTGTAGCTTTTTATTGAGGAACAGGACACTCTGAGCAGCGAGCAGTATTCCAATGACAGTACTGGAGATATCATAACAGAAATAGTGAGAGTGGCAGTGAGAGTAATAGTAAAACATATAACCATACAATGCTCATGAATAAAGTAACAGGTACACATTAACGAATATGGATGGTCAGTAACACATTTCCATGGGACACATCACAGCGGGGACAGGTTGCACTAGCCTATTGCATTCTCAGGAGATAATGACCTTCAGACCAGAGCACAATGCCCGGTGGTTAGGAAGAGGCCCTCCCTGAGAATACAAAGACATACATGGCTCAGAGCATTCTGTGGAAGGAAATAGCCTGCCCTCTAGGCCTCTCTATGGAAGGATTCATGATCCCAGCACGGCGAAGGACAACTGAGACCTCTACAACTCGTTTTGGGGAGGCTTGCCCTCAGAATGACTGAAGAAATCTAGAGCAAAAGTGACAGAGTTCACCCACGAAACAAACGAACAAGGGTAATGCTTTTCAAAAAGGCCAAAATAGAAAAAAACAGACTTGTATGCAGTGTATCTACAGTCATCAATTCTAGTAACAACTTCAGTCATCATGAGGCAATTGATCTTTTGCTGCACAGCCTAAAGTCAAATAGACAGCACAACATCAGGATCTCATGACCCCGACATCCCAGAGCTCTGCAACAGTCTTCTTCATTGTTTGTCTGAAACATAAATATGTGATATTGCTGTGCATGCATGTACAAACCTATTGCAATGGAACTTAGATAGATGAATGATGAAGGGAAAAGAAACAGGCAGCCATGAGCAGGATGGTGGAACATGCACTCCACTGTTCTGTCCTAACACAGACTCTATTTATGTTACGGTGGCACTTTACAATGCATGGTGACATTTCATGTACGGTAATGTACAGCATGTATTCACAGAGACATTTGTCGTATTATCTAACCTCCACTGTGGTAATAAAAAGACAACTGAATAAAAACGTTCCAACTATGCAAGACTGTGTTGTCAAAAAGTGAACTTTTCGAACAAGTTGTTTCCTCGGTATTACAATGAATCCTTTCACAACAAGCAGAATAACAACAGTCACAGGCCCAACATCTAATATTTGAGCTATAACACTATTGAGGCTGAGATGAACAGCTGTGACAGCCAAATGTCCATTTGCACCTTTGTTTCCAAATATTTGATTAAATTGCAGTTTGTAATGAGTTTTCAGAAGAAGAAAACAAAAGTTCATCATCTCCATCTGTATAACTTCCTGATCATTTACTCATTACCTACAAAAAATGTATATTTGTGTTATTGGTTTGAAATATTTTTTCATTGTACACAAATGTTAGGTCAGATGTGTCAAACATATCTCATGTCTTAAATGTTTAAGTCTAAACAGGTCATACTTTATATAAGCTGTGTAACAGTTGCAGAGGACTATTAAATATTTAGTCACAAATATGTTTTATGTATAACTAGATTGAGATGCAACCTATTTTAATTGAGTCATGTGTTAATCTCCTAAAAGTTTGAATTTAAAACTAAATGGTGCAACCATCTCCAGATACAAAACTTAAAGGCAAATCCAATCAGATTTATCACAATGAAATAGGAACGTGTCGGACTGTTATGTAATTTTAAAGCAAACAGATAATAACCAAGCAATGCCTCTATACACAGTTTGGAGTTATGCTGTGAAACAATCGTGCATCATCCAGTCGCATAGTTCAGAACCAAAGGCATCTTTCCTTAGTGCAGGTCACTATGATCTGTATGCCTGAACAGCAAACAGTGATACCATGTCCTGACGGAGGACAGTGGCTATGCTAAATGACTGCAGGGTCCCCATGTGCACTGTTTCTACATCACTGAGGAAGTGACGCATTTCCTCCAAGATGCTGTGTTTCATAATATATCTCAGCTTACGCTGTCTTTAATCAACTTCTTTCCTTCAACACAGCGACAGTATTTTCAGCATTAGGGCCTTATGTGTTTTCATCGTTGCATAGTTGTAAATATAAGCCAGATGACAAGAGAAGAAACGTGGTGTTTCTGTTGCGTTTGATTGATTTTGAATCCATAAAGCAGTCTATTTGATCACTAGCAGTTGACTATACCCTTAAAAGGAAGTGAGATAATCACCAACTGCATCTCGCTATCTGTGCACTGGTCCAAAGTCTGAAATTGAAAGGCATGCAATATATTTTGTTTTGACTTTTTTTTTCTTCAAATGACTGTGGAAACATGAAATATCAGTATTTTTAAAAAGAAAAAGAATAACAGAAATACTTTGAGCAGTGGAATTCAGAAAATGCTTCATCCATTTATGGGAAAATAGATTTCTGCCTAGAATACTATGGTAAGGCAGAATACAGTGCAATCTCTGAGCATCCTAACCCCAACAACAACAAGCTGTAGAGGCCTTGGAATCAGTTGTTGCACCATAACAGATATACGAGCCTGTGTTCACTGTGAAAGGCTAGAGTTTCATTTTATATATTTGTTGACTGAGCTTGGCTATAATTATCAGCAAATGACATTTGAGTTATCAGAAAAACAATATTTCCTGTACCATGCATGCATAATTGGATTTAAGACAATTAAATAAGACAGCTGACACTAATGGCGCGTTTCCACTACAGCCCGCAGCCCGGTTTAAGAGGGCTGTGACGTCAGCGGCCCGTCTTTGGTTGCGTTTCCACTTGGCCTAGTACCGGCCGGCGGGTCCTAATTCACAGTTTTTCTGGCCTCATAAAATCGTGGGGCCAGGGCCAGAGGCAACGAGGCTGAGTCGGGCTGAGTATGCTAAACTAGAGAGAGCGTCGCTGGCAAGGGGGCAACAACTACAACAAGATGGACATATTTTACCGTGATTTAATTGTAATACACGTTTCAAAATGATGCCGAAGTAACAACATACTGATACCGGTTAGTAAAAACCATGAATTAATGCTTTGTCAAGTCTGCAGACAGACGGCAGGGGAAAAACCTTTTAAAATGCTTGTTTTCTAAATGGAGATTGGCTAAGCTAACGCAGTATATGCCCCGACCGTCCACACTCACAACAACGGCCTATACAGACATAAATAAAGCAGCGACTGTATTCACCATGACACAGGCAGTCTGTGGTTTGTACTTGTTTAACTTTTGTCTAGTTTCTGAACATATATGAGGAGCTGTGAGCTCTGAGTGCTAACAGCTAACGGCTGTGTTGTTTTTCTGGGGTCCTCTGAAGATCACGTCACGGCTCCGCCTACACTGCGTTACTATAGATACTGCCCCAGTTCCTAAACTGTAATGGAAATGCGCCATAAAGTGAGCCAGTCCTAACGAGGCCCAGCCATACCGAGCGGGGCCGAGCGAGGCCGTGTAGTGGAAACGCGGCATAAGATATTAGTCAGACTTTGGATTGTCCAAAACATCTCCATTGATTTTAAAAGTGTGCGTCAGTCCTTGAAATGCACATTTGATTACATATGAAACACTGCAGCTAACAGTCAACATTTAGCTTGCTGTGTGCACAGCGGGTAGCACACACGTTGCACTTTTGGCAGCCCTCAGTGCCCTTTCACCTACAGTACCATTCCTCCCTTCCTGCAGCAGAGAGCCACGCAGAGCTCCTGAGAGCCAGATCAAACCCGAGCTGCCCCTCCTTCCTCTCCCCACCCTCAGCTTCACACAGTGGACAGTACCAACAACCCTTTGTTGTCAAAGCATAGAACAGACGCCAAACAAGAGAAACAACGATTATGGACTGCACAACAAAAACAGTCAGTCTGAAAGATGAAGCCTTAACCTGTATAGAATATGGGACAAATTGTATCTATGTTGCTATGTTTTGGTTTATTTGCCGTTACACTACTAATACCGAGTCTATTACATACAATACAACACTATCCATTTATTTGCACCTATATGCACTATCTAGCATCTTGAAGTTCATGATACCAAGATAACCACCCATTCCTGTTATTAAAACTTGCATGAAAATAAGGCATTATTCTGATCATGAATACTTTGACAACTACAAAGACGAATGTTTTTGGGGTGCTTGGGGGAAGCAGAAACAAGTTGTGAGATAACTGACCTATATTATTCAAAATAAAAATTGATACGGCGCATAGTAAACGGTTACATAATTACACATCTTGCAGTAACAGAGCAACAATAGCATTTGTGTGGCTGACCAAGTGGTAAATGTTACTCCATTACTAACCATCTTAATGCTATGGTTTTGGTCTCGACCAACCACTGAGGGAAATATCTGTCTTTAGCTACAACATGCTTTAAATGGAGGCAGAATCATTGGAAATAAGGAAAAGCACAAGCACACAAACCAGTGAATCAATAAAGACAATATGCAAGGGAACAGAAATGAAATGCATATAAGGAATGGTTCCAGCATATTGTGAATGAACTGAGCAAGAGCTGAGCAAACACAGCAGAAGTTGAACTC